CTTAATTACGAAAAAGCATCTGTGCATATCACAACGACATATTTTATAACGTGTATCTTCTTCTTCTTTTTTGGCGCTGTAACCGCCTAAGCGATTTTGGCCGAGTTCAGCAAAGCAAAAATCTTTCTCTCGAACACTCCAAGAGCCACCTCATCGGATGTTGTCATTGTCCATGCTTCTGCGCCATACACCAGCACGGGCAAGATGAGTGACTTATAGAGCGCGGTTTTCGTACGTCGAGAGAGGACTTTACTCCTGAATTGCCTACTCAGCCCAAAGTAGCACTTGTTGGCAAGAGTGATTTTGCGTTGGATTTCAATGCTGACATTATTATCGGTGTTAATGCTGGTTTCCAAGTAAACGAAATTTTCTACTTTCTCGAAATTGTAACTGTCAACAGTGACGTGGGTGCCAAGGCGCGAATGTGCTGACTGTTTGTTTGATGACCGGAGATACTTCGTGTTGTCCTCGTTTATAACCAGAACCATTCGCTTTGCTTCTCTATCCAACTTGGAAAAGGCAGAACAGACTTCGTGGTTTTTGTTACCGATGATGTCGATGTCATCGGCATAAGCCAGCAATTGCACGCTCTTGTAGTAAATTGTTCCTGAGCGGTCCAGTTCTGCAGCTCTTCTTATCTTCTCCAAAATCAGATTACAGAAGTCACATGAAAGGGAGTCGACCTGTCTGAAACCCCGTTTTGTGGCGAACTTAAATTCCAGTCGTCGGGCATGCGCTCATCTGACCATATTCTGCATAAAAGTTGATGCATACACCTTATCAACTCCTCGCCACCGTACTTGTATAGCTCATCTGACAGGCTGTTAGCTCCAGCAGCATTGTTGTTTTTCAGCCGCGTAATTGCTATTCGTACCTCGTCATGGTCAGGCGGAGGAACATCGACTCCGTCATCATCGACTGGGGGCTCGGGTTCTTCTTCTTCACAACTTTCCGTGCTGCTACCATTCAGTAGCGTGGAAAAGTGTTCCCTCCATAATTTAAGTACGTTCTGAACATCGGTAACTACGTCGCCATTGTTGTTCTTACAGGAGTACGCCCTGGTCTTGAAACCTTCCGTAAGTCGCCTAACTCTCTGGTAAAATTTCCGGAAATCCTCCTATCGGCCAGCATTTCAAGCTCTTCGCACTCACGTATTTCGGCCTCTCTCATCTTGTTGCGGCAAATACGTCTCGCTTCCCTCTTCAGATCTCTATAGTCCCACAGAGCGCGGGTTGCGCCCGATCGCAGCGTGGCCCTGTAGGCGGCATCTTTTTTCTCTGCAGCTTCCTGACACCCCTCATCGTACCAAATGTTCTTTCGGGCTCGCTGGAATCCGACTACTTCTTCGGCGGCGGTATTTAATGAGCGGTAAATGTGGTTCCACTGCTCGCATATGTCGGTTTTTGAAGAGTGCTCTCTGAGAGCAGTTGTGAGAGTCGAGTAACGAAAGCGCTGGCTGTCTGTTGTGATTGTCGATGTTTGGGCCTCGGAGACTACGTACGTCTAAAACACTGGAAGCATGCCTGCCGTCTATCACAACATGGTCGATTTGGTTTCTCGTTTTTCGATCCGGAGACATCCACGTAGCTTGATAAATCTTTTTATGCTTGAACCTAGTACTGCATACTAACATGTTTCGGGCACCGGCGAAATCGATCAGCCTCAGTCCGTTGTCGGACGTTTCGTCGTGGAGGCTGAATTTTCCGACGGTGGTTCCAAAGATCCCTTCCTTGCCCACCCTGGCATTGAAGTCGCCAAGCACGATTTTGATATCATGACGGGGGCAGCGCTCGTACGTGCGCTCCAAGCGCTCATAGAAGAGATCTTTGGATACCTCATCCTTCTCTTCCGTCGGGCATGGGCGTAGATGAGCAAGATGTTGAGGAATCTCGCTTTGATGCGGATTACGGCTAGACGCTCATCCACCGGGGTGAACGACAGTACTGGGCGACGGAGTCTCTCTCCCACCACAAATCCAACACCGAATTTGCGTTCCTTTACATGGCAGCTGTAGTATACGTCGCAAGGCCCCAGGCATTGCTTGCCTTGCCAACGCATTTCTTGGATGGCGGTGATGGCAGCTTTTGTTCTTACGAGAACATCAACCAGTCGGCCAGAGGCACCTTCCCCATTAAGGGTCCGGACATTTCAGGTGCATGCCCTCAAATCGTAGTCCTTTAAACGTTTGCCGTGGTCGTCATAATAAGGGGGGG